ATAAAAGTAAAGGATAATTTCTACCTAATTACATGTAACTTAAAAATAGAATAGGAAATATTCTCAAGTAAGAAAGAAAAGAGGCTCCTAGTTTCTAGGTAGTAGCAGGTTACCTCTCTGCTGTCACCAATACTAACTGCATTAATGCACATGCTTTCCATTTGCTCTTCCCCTCCTTAACACATCAGACTCAGTGTAAATATGAAAACTTGTATTTATTAGTGTTCCATGATAAGGAGATACGCCTGAGTAAAAGATGAAGAAAGATAAAGAATGAACACAGTTTCTACCATAGGAAATCCTTAAGACAGTACATACTTTCTGCACCTCTGTGGCAAGCATCCCAGCAGCATGACACTGCTCCCTGTATAAGACCACTGGCAGGGTGACAGTGAAATCTTAATATTGCTCTTTTCCTTAACAATGGTATTCTTCCTTTGTGGAAAGCCGAATGAAAGTGTTAGTCCTCTATATAGAGTTGTTACGAGAGAAACTCTGAGAATTAACCAAATGTTAGGAGGTGGCTGTGGGGAGCAGGCGGGGGAGAGAAAGGTGCTAACCTAATTAAGTGAAATTGAGTGGAGTCTGTAAAACTAAAAGCAAAAGGAACTGTACATAAGCATTAACTCTAGCTGATAAAGTTGCTTTGAACCAAAGGGTATGGGTTAATGCTGATTCTGCCATGCATGCTACTAGAGCTGAACAACAGGCAAATGGATGGGAGACCATGGAAGCCAGGTTTCTCACTGTTGAGATGAGAGGTTATAGATAAGCGAGAGGAGGTCACCATCACGTGAAGTCATGTTATATTAGATAGATGGTACATCATGTAACATGTATGATAGGCTGACATCCCTGATACAATGTGATGAGAATGGCATTTTGCCTCTGTGGACTTCTTCTCAAAACCCACAAACTCTAATTATGAGAAAACTATCAGACAAATCCTGAGATACATTCTACAAAAAAAATCTAACCAATACTCCTCAAAACTGTCAAGGTCATCAAAAACAAGGAAAGTCTGAGAAACTGAGATACATTCTACAAAAAAAATCTAACCAATACTCCTCAAAACTGTCAAGGTCATCAAAAACAAGAAAAGTCTGAGAAACTGAGATCACAACCAAGAGAAGTTTAAAGAGATATGATTAAATGTGGTATGGTACACTGGGTCAGAAAAAAGAACATTAGGTAAAACCTAAGAAAATATAAAGTATGGACTTTAGTTAATAGTAATAATTTATGAAACTTTTTCTTTATTCATTGAATTTGGCAAATGTTTCACACTAATATGTAACATGTTATAAATGAGAGAAACTTAGAGTGGGTAATATGAGAACTCTATTCTCTCTGTAATTTTTTTTGTATCTATAAGTATTTCAAAGTAAAAAATTTATTTAAAAAATTAACCAAATGTTTTCAAAACAGGGCTGCTATTGCTTAAGTAATTACTTTAAAAAAGGAAAGACAGAAATCCTCCAAAATTCATCTTTCAACTTTTCTATACTTCTATATGTTACACCATTAAACATAGAAAACTTTCTATAAATTGGATTTCTCTAAGTTAGTATTTTTTCACATATTTTGAGTAAACAAATGCTTAACCAACTTATGCTAATCATTCCAGTATCACTATACTGGTACTTTTTACATTTTTTAAAAAGTGCAAAAATTACACAGAAAGCTTTCTATCTTGGGAAGATAATCCTGAATTTCCAGAGTACTGTGCAAAAGTGCTCGGTTTGGGCGTTTGTTTGCTGGAATTATAGTCAAAAGTAAACAATCTAAGCATCAAATAGGAGATATTTAAGTAAGTTAGCCTACTTCCTTCTGACAGAATTTTGTCACTATTAAAATTTTGCTTCTGAAGAGATTAAACAGAGGAATATTTTATATTGCATTACTAAGTGAAAATTCAGGATATAAAATTATATACCTAGTGTAAACGTAACCATAAAACTTTGTATGAAGATTTGAAGGAAATGCCCCAAAATGTTAATAGTGGCAGCCTGGCTGGTAAAATTAGTTAAAAAATATGTATATTCTTCAAATCTTCTAATATATACATGTCATATATACACACTTCAAATATACTAATACTTTTAACAGTATTAACAAATTCTCAAGGTCAGGAAAAATCAGGACAAGTCTATCCAGCACAGAGAAACACTTATTAAAAAGATTTTTCTTATAAATCAATGGCTAATTCCTTCAGTGAGTTTCTGTCCTTCCTCTAAATTTCTGGGTTGGCCAAGCACATCCAGGATTTTCACACTTTCCATTTTCATTAAAATTAGTAATTTGACTGAGGTATAGCAAAGAATATAGGCTTTATATTTGTTTCATTCTTTAGGTGTTTACTGTTACAAATTCACTGCAGTTGCATTATACTGGTATCTTTGGGGAGATGTTTAAGAACATTATTAGGAAGTTCTAGAATGATGCTATGCTTATAACATTCCTTGCCAAATTCTTATGGAGGGTTGGTCATATCAGGGCAAAGCTACAGATCATAACTATACACCAACCATTTCAACCTTCATATACTGGTAGTGACTCATAATGAACATTCTTGGGGAGATGCTTAAGAAATATTTTAGGAATGTTAGAAAGATACTGTGCTTATAAAATAACCCTTTGAATGGGGTCTTAGAATACTTCTTATACCAAATTCTTTGTGAGGGAAGATCAGTTATATGGTAAAACTATAAACAATACGCTGAATATCTAAACTCTACAGATTAAGCTAGTCAAATGAAAACTCAAAGTGAATGTACACTTTTAATTCAATTTAAAGTCACAATACTTTTTCTTCATTTTAAAAGTATCTCTTTAGAGATTTCTGGCTTCTACCAATGGAGGTTCCCAACAAACCAAACTTGTTATAACTATAAACCCTGAGGGGAAAAAGTCAGCAAGAAAAATAAATAAAAAGTATACATATTGAAAAGGAAGAAATAAAACTGCCTCTTTTTGCATACAACATGATTGTTTATGTAGAAAATCCCAAAGAATCTATAAAAGAGACCTACTAGAACAAGGGAGATTTCCAAAGACACAGGAATATCCAACCCAGTGTGGGCTACACTTAAGTTTTTTCAAAGAACAGTATCAAAGGGGTCAAAAATTATACAGTGAAAAAAAACCTGGCAAACAATCTTGGGCAGGTGACCAAGGTAAGTATCACCAGTGATAAAGCATGTTAATAACAGGCACTGCTGATATGATGTGATGAGGACTCTTCACCCCCGTGGTATTATTTAACTCCAGTCTAACCATGAGGGAAAAAAATCAGACAAGCCCAAACTGAGGGACAGTATAAGACATCTGAAAAGCAGCCCTCAAAACCATCAAGGTATGAAAAACAGACTAAGAAACTGTCACAGACCAGAGGAGACACAATTAAATGTAATGTAATAGCCTCTGTGGGAGCTAATTAAAAAGGCATTAGTGGAAATTTGGCAAAATCTGAATAAAATCCGAAGTTCAGTTAATAACCTAAATGTACCCATGTTGGGTGACAAATGCACCACAGTAATTGCTATGGGCTGAACTGCACTCCTCCCAAATGCGTATGTTTAAGCTCTAACCCCAGTACCTCTGAATACCACTACTGTATTTGGAGATGGGACCTTTAAAAAAGTGATCAAGTTAAAATGAGGCTGGAGAGTGGACCCTAATCTGACATGACTGGCATCCTTAGGAGGAAATTTGGACATGTGTTTATTTTTTTTAATGTTATGCTTCAAAAGATACCATTATGGAAGTACAAAGACAATTCACAGGCTGGGATAAAGTATTTGCAAGTCACATACCTGACAGGGGACTTTTGTATCCAGAATATATAAAGGACTCTTACAACTTCTCTTGTTTGTATTCTACAATACAAACTATGATTCTATAAATAGAACACAAATAAAAGAATTTCAACATGGGCAAAAGATATGAAGACACATCTCGCCAAAGATACATAAATGACCAATAAGCACATAAAAAGATGTTTAACGTCATGAGTCATCAGGAAAATGCAAATTAAAACCACAAGATACTTCATTTTCAAGAATGACTGTAATAAAAAGAGTAAGAAGTGTTAATGAGGATGTGGAAAAATCATAACCCTCATATATTACTGATAGAAATGTAAAATTGTGCAGCTTCTTTGAAAAAGTGTGGCAGTTCTTCAAAATGTTAAACATATGACCCAATCTGAGGTAAATACCCAGAAAAATGAGAATATATCCACACACAAACTTGTTCATGAATGTTCATAGCAGCATTATTTGTAATAGACAAAAGGTGGCAACAACCCAAATGTTTATCTAATGAATGGATAAACAAACCACGGTCTACAGCTGACCCTTGAACACAGGGTTTGAGGGTGCTGATCTCCCCTTGAAGGTGACTATTCATGTATTGCCATTTCTGCCTCAAAAGCAAAGGAACTGATAAGTGACTCACCCAAGGGCAGGAAGGTGAAAGAGTCTGGATAGAATCAAGACTCAAAACACTAGTTCTTTTGACTCCACATAGTATGAACACAAACTTTATCCCCATACTTAAAGATCTATAAAATGACAATACAGGTACTATATTGAAAAAAATCCAAGTATAAGTAGACCTGTGTAGTTCAAACACATGTTGTTCAAGGATCAACTGTAGATTCATACAATGGAGTATTTTTCAGCAATAAAAAGGAACCAAGTGCTGGTTATGTGCCACAACATAAATGAACCTTGAAAATATGCTAAATAAAGGAAGTCGCTCACAAAAGGTCCCATATTATAAGATTCCATTTATATGCAATGTCCAGAATAGGCAAATCCATAGTATGAGACATAAAGTAGATCTGTGGTTGCCAGGGGAATGACGAGGGGAGAGGGAGATGTAGAGACTGCTAATGGGTACTGTTACTTTGGGGGTTAACTGAAATGTTCTAAAATTAGATTGTAGAGATGGCTGCACAATTTTGTGAAAATAATATAAAGCACTCAATTACACAATTTTAATGGGTGAACTTTATGGTGTGTGAATCATCTCAATAAAGCAATTTAAAAAGCACAATAAAAAAACAACAAAGCTCTTAACTGGGGAAAAGACCAATGTTTCAATAACAAGGTTTTCCAAACTACTTATGCAGAAAAACAAAGAAATTTTATGGCTCAGTTTTAAAGACATTCTTTCCAACGTCTATTAAACAAACTGCCATCTTAAATTAAAAATAATTTTTAAAGGACAGTTACACTGAGTTAAAGTAGGGGTTCTAACCCTCACTGAGGGTCAGAATCACCTTGGGGAACTTTGAAATCAACAGTGACCCATCCCTTAAAAGATTTTGATTCAAGTGATGTAGGGAAATACTCCAGCAATGTTAACGTTTTAAAAGCTTCTCCATGGATTTACACATGTAGCCAGGATTGGGAATTACTGATGTAATTCAACAGAATAGTAAACTATATTCTAAAAATCTTCTGGGTGAAGGTATTTTAGGTAAATACCCAAAATAAAAAATATTTAAGAAAAATTTGTTTCTAATCATACAGCTATAAATAAAAAGCCACATAAAACACAAAATTAGCCATAAAACCAATTATTTAATTCAAGCTATAAAAAAGAGGCAATATAACTGATAAAATAATTAGGAAAGAATTTTTAGCATGTTTTAAAAGATTTAAAATAGGAGGACACTTTACAAAAAGTTGTGTGGGAAATAAAATTCTTGAACTGTAAGTAGAAATGTAACATTACAGAGTATCTTATAAAATACAATGACAGAAATATAAAAGGAAACTATGTATGCTCTAAGACTGAAAACTACTAATAATGACCAACATTTAGGCTTAAATTTACAGTTCCTGGGTATGAGAGTCATATTACTATACACATCTTCCAAACCAGTGGGCAATATTTTCCAATTAACCATGAGTGGTATCATCTTCTACAAAGTCTTTGGCCATCTCTGCTGTGATCACATCAATATGACTAACCTGAAGAATAAATGTTAAAAACAAAGCCTGTTAAATTATAAAGAAATACATCAGTGTTCCCCCTGAACAGGGTCATATTTTTAAAATACAACCCATCACCTATAAATTTTATGTATCAAGTCAAATGATTCTAAAACACTGACTGACCTTTATGATGCTATTTGTTCAATGCATGAGTTTAAAGAATATTCTGCATTTTGATACTCTGAAGATACAGATAACGTCTAAATATTTGAACTACATTTTTGTTTGGTTTTTATTACTCTGCTATTTCAAAGAATCTAAGGCTGAAAACAGCAGAAATAACTGTGTGGTCTAGCCAAATATAAATGAATATATGTAACTGTTAACAACTGTGCATTAAAAAGCACTAAATAGTGTAGACAAGAAGACAGTACCTCTTAATGCCAATGAAAATAAAATCAATGCAATGAATGCCACACAAAAAATTTGCTAGCCTTCATAGACACTTGAAGTTCCTTTCTTTACAAAGACATCATCATCAGATAAACAACTTTCTAAATTTTCTTTCATTATTTAAGTAACATAAAACAAGAATTCAACAAATACAATGTATTAAATAAATACTACATGAACTTAAACTTCATGTAAAAAGAAATTACCTTATTTCTGAATTTTACGCCATAGAATTTGTCAGCCGACTCAAGCAGTTCAGGCCTAAAAGTAGTTGTAATAAACTGAGCATGTACAGCAAGTTCCATAATCATATCTGTAAGAAGAAATAGTAATTTAATAAAACCTGTTCTCAGTAGGACTGAAAATTTAAAAAGCAACTGTCTCTACTCTTACCTAAAATTTAAAACTGCCTGTAACTCTTTAATTTTTCATGCATGTATCTGCAAAAAATTATCAACTTGATTTCTTAAATTAGGAATAAATCTTCAACATCAGTATCTTAAAGTTACAGAATAGAAAGCAGCAGCACCGTCTAATACAGCATTGGAAATAATGTCAGAGCAAAGTAAATTTTCTCACACAAAAAAACTGAAAAACTTTTTCCCTGCTACCCACTCTCCCAAGATCTTTTGAACTTACTAAAGATCAGGTATAGATTATTAACAGAATCAACACTGTTTATGATGAGCTATTCAAGTATTGAGAAAAACAAGTTTTAAAAGGAGAAACTTTTGTATAAAACTGTAACTGGAGTAGGATTTTCAATTATTATATCCATTTATCACAGAACTAAACTTTGTGGTCTAATACTAAAGTTTAAAAAAACTGTTAAAAGAGAAATTATTTACTGAATGCATAACCTATCTAGTCCCTCCAGACAACATTAGGCAACAAGTAATACACTATAAAAGAGGCAGGCTATCATTTTTAGCAAGTTACTGTTAACTATGAAACCACAACTGTACCTGACACAGCCTTTCTGTGCTGAGCATCCAGAGCCTGGTCAATCTCATCAAACAAGTAAAAAGGAGCTGGGTCACATTTCTGAATGGCGAAAATCAGAGCAAGAGCTACCAAAGATTTCTGTCCACCGGAAAGCTGCTGCATTTCTCTCATTTCACCTTGTTTTCCTGTAAATGACACCTAAGAAAACAACTGATGGGTTAATATCTTAACGGGGTAAAAATTGCCATCATCTCTTAACATTAAATTGCATACCATGTACCAATTTATACTAGCAAAATGTTCTACAAATTCTACTATAATATTATGAGGAAAATTGAAATGTAAAGGTATATTACCCTAATTCCAACTCCAGTGAACTGGTCAACTGACGGAACACTGCTTTGTGACCCAGAGCCCCTCTCACTTTCACCACTCCCTTCTCCTTCATCCTGAGACTGACTGCCCTCCACATCTCCTTTCTTCATCACCAAAGTAGCTTTGCCACCGGGTACCAACTTCTGGAATACTTCACTGAAGTTTTTGGATACCTTAAAATAAATAAATAAGTCGGGTGTCAACTGGAATATGTATTTTGCTTGGTGGGATTATACATACATTATATATTACTGCTTAAAACAAGGACAAATATTTAAGAACGAAAAGTATTTTCATTATCTAATCTTAAGAACAAGAGTAACAGATTGGATCCTTTCAAGAGCTGTGTAAAACATTCTAGTTACTACATTAGCAATCTATATACTGGATTTATTTGCAAATATTAGATCCAACTATCAGTGGGAAAAAAGCTTTAAAATCTTTACAGATTGAATAAACTGAATAGTATCTGAAGATGTTACCTTGTGTGTTATTAACTACAAATAGAAACATACCTGTTTGAAAGTTAGCTGAATAGCTTCATATTTTCGAAGTTCAAGGACATTCATCAGTTCCATGATTGATTTGTACCCCCTATCCAACTCTTCCTGTCGCTTTATTAACTTTTCTTTCTGCTCAGAGAAATTTACAAACTGATCTAAAGCTTTTTTATTAACATGACTGTATTTCTTCAGTTCTGTGTTGCATTGTTCAAGTTTTCGAAACAACTGTAAAGAGAAAAAAGTACAAGTTAAGTTTGCATATAGAGAAATCTGCAAGGAGATTTCAAATTTAATACCAACAAGATCTACCTGTTTGAGGCTCAGTGTCTGGTATTTTTCAAATGCTTCCTGGGGAAGTGACCCAAGTTCTCGAATTTTCTTCATACACTCTTCTTTCTTCTTTAGTAACATGCCTTGTCGATTTGTCATCTTTTCTAGTTCTTTAGTATCATGATTTATAGCATCCATGTGTTCTTTTTCCATATTTTTCCAGCGTTCCATACTCTTCTGCAACTCCTTAATTCCAGCTTCTGTTTTATCAATGGAATTGTCCAAATCTAAAATGGAAGGGAAAACCAAATTAGGCCATAAAACCTATTTTAAAGCCAGAGTGTTACTTGACCAAAGATACTATGGTCAAATCTATCAAAGCAGGTTTAAATTTTATTGTGAAAATTTATGAAAGAAATCAGGACAAAATTAGGAGTGTACACAAGTTACTCAAGTATATATAGTTTTTATTGTTTAATGTTTATGTTTATAAAAAACTAAAATAATTTTCTTCTCAGCAACTAAGTGATAAGAAACTTGATTCAGCTATTTCATACTTTTGTCAATGAAACTAATAATTTATAGTCTCTCATAAAATTGTCACATACATTTCAACAAAACAAAGGTTACTACTTATAACCAACCCCTTCAACTGTTTCCTATGAATTGTTTATGATGATGGAAAACTATATAAAACTGCTGGTACCTTTTTTTGCCTATATTGATATTTCATTTTGTAGTAAACAATTTCATAAAATGAATAAGCTAAATTTTACCTTCTGATCGTGCCATGGTATCTTTCACTCTTTTATTGATGGCTTCAAGTTCTGAAGTTGTAGCAGTGAGAACAGTACCCCCTTCAGTCTCTCTCAGTTCATTGAGTTCCTATAACATAAAAAGAACTAAGAGTGTTAAACCACAAAATACGAATTTTGTTAGTTTCAAAGTGTTATAACTGCTACAAGTTTATGTAACTGGTGATATGTTTGAATAAACACTTAATAAAACCAAAAAACATACTTCAAATAATTGTTAAGTACTTACTGTATCCATTAAAGGAAAAAAGTAATGATACAATTATCAGAAAATCTCTCAGCATCTGATTACTACTGAGAAAATATTCCTGATATTTACCAAGTACCTAGAATGTGACATATAATCATACAAAATAGGTACTACTGCTGTGCTTATTTTGCATAGGATGAAACTGAAGCTTAGAAATATCAAATGACTTACCCAATACTGTACACTAGGTGGCAGTGCTAAAACTCCAAGCCAGGGCAAGTAGTCAGACTGCTAGTCTCTGTCCCCCAAGTCAATCAGAGCCTCTTATATAAGCACTTTCAAAAGGTTATGGTCATGAAGGAACCCTCAAAAAGACATACCTGTTCTACTTGGTCCAAGCGCTTTCTCAAATTCTCATTGAGGTAAGTCTCTACTCGAGTAATAATACCTTCTAATTTAATTCTTTCATTCAGCAGCTGTCTGTTTTCCTACAAGAAAAAAACCAGTTATTTGTCTACACAGATATGCACATTTCTCACTCAGGAATGCTGTTAATCCGCTGTTTCCTCCATTACTTGTGTTCAAATGAGCTTAGATGGAGTTTTATACCTTTCCAAAAAGCCCTGTATTTTATTTTCTCTCTTATCTATTCAAAATGCTGGTTTTTGTGCCTGTTTCTTTTTATAAGGCATGGTACCAAAAATATCTCTTCCTGATTTTCATTTCTTTACACTTAGTGTTGGTTGTTTATATCTCTTATTTAAAAATGAAATGTTACTAAAATGTTTAATCAAAATAGTATTATTAAATATGTAAAGGTGGTCAGATCAATAAATATAGCAAAGCTAACAATCTCAATTTTTATGATAAATGTACATTAAATAAGATGAAAGAAAATAAAGATTTCTTATATAACCCTAAAGCCTCATTTACTTTTATGACTATCAGAAGCCTAAGTCTATTTTCTCAATATTCTCTTTCACGAAATTCCTTCTATTTCACATTCCAAGACACTTTTCACACCAGCCAACTACCAACAAAAACTTTTTTTTGTCAACTGTACTTGCCTGCTGAAGTTGACGAATTTCATCATTCAGTGCATCAACTCTCTTCTGATCTTCCAGACTAAGTTGAGAAAGCAAATCAGTTCCCAGTTCTGCTTTCAATGATTCTCTGGTGGACTCCATAGCATGCAAACTTGCCTCCAAACTTTGTAAGCTACGTTGCTGTATGACAGATTATCCATTTATTAATAAAGGTATTAGTGTATTAGTTATAATAGTGAAAAATTGGATATAGTCTATATATAACATTAAAGTGAGCTAAATAATCACATTAACTCAATTAATTATCAAGTATCCATTAAATTTGATAATCAGAACTATGTAGCAACCAGAAAAAGATTATGACGCAATACCATGCAAGATGTGTGAACACATATTCCATGGTCAGAATGTACAAAAATCTTTATGCATATTCGTAAGAACAAAAAGAAGTTGCTAGAATGTTAGGGTGATACAATTGTGGGTGATATGTATTTCTTAAACTTTGCTGTTTTAGCACTTTTGATGTGCTAAATTAAGTTTTTGTCAAAACTGCTTCATGTTTATGAGAAGAATATGTTTGACCACTATCAGACAGTACTATTATATCACAGCTTAAAATGCCTATTTGTTTAATGAAGTTGGAAAGTTTGAATGTCGCCTACCAAAGGAGACTTGGGGTATGCATTGGGTAAAAGTATGGTAAAGATACATGTAGATATCCAAAACTATGGGCCAAAATGAAAATGGAACATAATATATATGTCAAATAACCTATATAACATATGGTCCACCCAAATCTCTATAATTAAAACAAATCTATTAAAGAAGCATACTTACGAACCTTTGGCATAAAAGTTTTCTCTGACTGCTGCCTCTTCTCTTTTAGCATCTTCATTTCTGATAATATGCTATCTCGAGATGCTTTAAATTTCCTTTGCTGGGTCTCAATCTGTTGCATTTGGTTCATTAGCTGATCAATTTCATTATTAATCCATATACAAGGCTAAGGAAAATTCTCTTCAGTGCCTATTAACACAACATTGTGTATCCCCTTCCTTTTCTTCACTCCTAAATAAAAGCTACTTCGACATATTTGTGGACCATAACCATGTTGAATTAAATACTACACTAAATGTGTTCAGTCATTAAAGAAGCTTGAAACATTTCACCCCACTACTTCTCTCTCAAAATAACATACTATTTTACTAATTGCTACACAAAAAATAATAAAATCCTGGTAAGTCCTAAAGGAAGCTAAATAAAACACATATATGTATATTTTAATATCTTTTCACTCAACTAATATTTACTGTGTAACCTACTATGCTTATAAGGGAGTTATATATGAGGAGGAAGCCTTGAATAACTCCTCCTAGCTGGATTATCAAATACAGGAAGGCAGGGTGCATGCTGTCAATATCCTTTTTCTTTGTACTCTCCCCTACCTTCTTCATGCTCACATCTTGCCAAATTTGGGCAGTTCTCAAAGTATGCTATGCAGACCACTGCAAAGTCAAAACTGATGTTTTATCTTTTTCTCTGTGTTCTTGCTTGTAAGTGATGACACAAAAGCTATAAACCCCTATTTTGAAAAAATGCTTGTTTCAATAAAGAGTATCCTAATGAAACAGTAAAAATAATTACTTCTGCTGCTCAAGTACCTGTATTTTTAATATTGTGTGACACAATACAAAGTACACATAAAGCACTTTTGCCTTTTACCACAGCTATTTTAAGAAAATGTGAATCTAAA